CTCCAACCTAATAGCGATGGCCTCCAGCCTAATGGCGATGGCCTCCAGCCTAAGAGCGATGGCCTCCAACCTAATAGGGATGGCCTCCAGCCGAATAGCGATGGCCTCCAGCCTAATAGCGATGGCCTCCAATCTAATAGGGATGGCCTCCAGCCGAATAGCGATGGCCTCCAGCCTAATAGCAATGGCCTCCAGCCTACTGGCGATGGCCTCCAGCGTAATTGCGATGGCCTCCAACCTAAGAGCGATGGCCTCCAACCTGACAGCGATGGCCTCCAACCTGACAGCGATTGCCTTCAACCTAAGAGCGATGGCCTCCAACCTGACAGAGATGGCCTGCAACCTGACAGCGATAGCCTCCAACCTGACAGCGATATAGCCTCCAACCCAAGAGCGATGGCCTCCAACCTGACAGCGATGGCCTCCAACCTGACAGCGATAGCCTCCAACCTGACAGCGATAGCCTCCAACCTAAGAGCGATGGCCTCCCCTTATGAGTCCTTATGTAGTTCAGCCATGTTCTATTCGGGCAATCGAGCTCTTGACTGGTGCTTTACGTGCTTTCAAGCTTTGGACTCTTAGGTGGCAGTGTTGGAGGACGCACCCGGGGAGCACTGAACTGTGTTGGTAGCACATTTGGGACAAGAAGATGAAAAGGGATTTGCAGCGCTCGCAGTTGGTGTTTGCTCCTGTATCTTTCAACCAGTAGAGGTAGACATCACGAAAGGTAGCGGTTACGCTACCTGAGTTTTCCTTTTGCTTTAGCAAAAATGAATTATAACCAGAGTGGACACCCATCTCACTGAGAAATCGCCTCCGACATTTACTTTTAAGGGCCGAGGGGGGGGGGCCTCCCCCCCTTTCCTCTCCACCCTGGCGCGGGTCTTTGTCAACAGCTACAAAACACTGTAAATACTAGTGTTTTCAGCTCCTCCAGTCTGCAAGAGTTGCCTCAAACCACGCAATTTACAGGGTTTTCTGTGGCTGTCCGGCCAAAAACATCGTAAAAACCGATGGTTTTTGAAGTGTCTAGGCTTCAAAAATGGTCGAAAAATTGCCAAAAACCTGGAAAGATTTTGTCGGAAAGGGTTTTTTCGGCGTTTGGAGGCTTCTAAATGGCACAAAACGACGGTATTTACACGGGTTTGTGCGCCTTCCCGGCACAAAGCCCTGTAAATTGCGATGGCTTTGGGCTGTGTACGCTTCAAAGTGGCCACAAAACACCGTAAATGCCAGTGTTTTCATGTGTTTTCAGCTCCTCCTATCCTCAAGAGTGGCCTCAAACCACGCTATTTGCAGGTTTTTTTGTGGCAGAAAGGGCTTTTGCTGTGCTTAGAGGCTTCAAAGTGGCACAAAGCGACGGTACTTGCACGGGCTTCAGCACCTTCCTGCCACAAAACCCTGTATATTGGGATGGTTTGAACCTATGTACGCTTCAAAGTGGCAACAAAACACCGTAAATACCATTAATACCAGTGTTTCCAGGGTTACGCCTGATTCCCTGCTACCTTTCGTTCACCCCCTCCTCTCTCAAGTTTTGTTTATTCGTTCTGTGTGACAGAACAGTTTTCACAGAAGCAATCCAGGAGATGCAGGTGCCATGCGCTTCCGCAACGTGATGCAGGCAAAAGTGGAGCTTTTGGGCTAACAAAAACTGGTGATGAAACGATTGTTTGTTGTTTATTTTTCTTTCGCTTTTCTTTCCTTTACTTTGTGTTTCGTTTTTTTCTCGCCAGGTTGCGACCACGGCATGTCCCTACCCAGGGGAAGGTGGTTGCACTGGCCGGCCAGATAGCCCAGTTTGAGTGCTCAGCCCACGACGAGAGTTCTTGAGTTCTTCGACGAGAAAGGTGGGTGGATTTGCTGGTGACATCAGCGGAGCCTTACCAGGCGGGAAACTGACAAGATCTGAGTAGATGAAACAGCAAGGAAACTGATGTTTGCTAACTTAAGAATGAGTCCAACCAGTTTCGAATCACAAAGTTGAAATAACAACCAGATCTCGAGCAGTCCTGGCAGTCCTGCTTGACGGATCAGCGCTACTACGATGGCTTCGGGGAAATCTCTGTGGCATCTGTGTGACCCTAAGACAGCATCCTTGCTCCTAGTAGCGATGCCCTTTGTTACTAGTAGCTTCTTGCTCCTAGTAGTAAGGCCAGGAGCCCCCAGTAGCCTAGTAGCATCCTTGCTCCTAATAATGAGGAAGTGGAAGCTTGGGATTTTCACTTTGCTTGCCCCAATTGCAATTATTTGCATCTTGAGGGCTCTGATGTGTCCTTCAAGTTCCAAGTGGTCGATCCAATTAGCAACTCACCAGTGACTTGGCAAACATGCAAGCATCGAAGACTGCCGGGCCAACTCAGGCAAAACTGTCAATTGGTAGCGGTTTGTCCAGCAAAAATAATGTGTCCACATCTCCTTGAAGTTGTCAGCGACACAACGACGCCTATCCTTTGTAGAATTGTCCCTGAGCCCCACAACCTTGGCTGATTGCTTTGACTTCTTTGGACATCATTCAAGAAATATTGATGCGCTCACCAGGTGGCCATGTCAAATCTCATGATGAAGATATTTGGTCCACTCACTCAGAGTGTCGGCGAGTTGAGGGATGCAAAGGGGACTTTCAGTGTTGCTTGTGCATTGTGTTGCAAAGGCAAAGCGTTGCATGTGTTTTGCAGCTTTGATCAGACATCGAGCTATTGAAGTTGCCGCCGTTGCTGGTTCTTGGTTCAAGAAGAATCCGAAAACGCAGAACTCAGCAAGCACAGCCATGGACAAGAACTCACCACAAGCAACACACGCTTCTACTCACAAGCCACTTGTAGTGCTACTTATGTAGTAATACGATTCGACAACTACTTGTGCACACTTGTGCCACTCTTGTGTTGCAAAGCACACTTCTTGTATCTTGTTTGACTGTTGTTTTGTTCGTTTCGAAGCCTCTCCAGCGACACAGAGCGCGCCCCCGAGACGACTTCGTCACTCTCTCAGCGACTTCGGACCAAAATGAGACGAATTGGAAGAATTGATAAGAATTGTTCGTAGCTTCTTGCTAGTAGTAAGGCCCTTGCTCCTAGTAGCGATGCACTTTGTTCCTAGTAGCTTATTGTTTTGTTTTGAGTTTTTTTTGTGAAAAAAAACACTGTGTTCGATGTTGTTTCACTTCTTTCACTTCCGAAGTGCAAAAATAAGTGAAACATTCGGCCTTTTAGCCCATTCCCTAAGGCGAGCAGCGTCGAACGATGGAGTGCTGCTCGGTGGATCGACAATGCTGCTCAATCGACACCGCTCCAGAGCACATGGCCCTTGAGCGTCCAGAAGATCCGATGGAAGACGAAGAAATTGGAGCCATTTCTGGCATGGCTTGTGCCAGGTGCCATTTTACGTTTTTTGGAGGACCCAAAGCAGGTTAAGTGTGAAATCACTCTCCTTCAAGCGCGTCTCAATTTCTAGGATAAGATTGATCAAAGAGAGGTATGTATCATCATCATGTATCCGATGTATCATCATGCATAATTGATTTGTTCAAGCTTGGAACCTCATTTCAGGGCTATGGCAGATGCGACCTTCAGACGAGAGGCGGAAAAACGCGAAAGAGAAAGGAAGGAAGAGGAGGCGGAGGAGACTAAATCGTTGGAATTTCCGCTTGAGCGAAAGAGGCCCAGGCCAAGCCAACTTTGGGGTGTTCTCCCTGCCAGCGACGGGATCATTTTGTCAGATCCAGAACAAGAGTCTCTAAGAAGGTCAAAAAGTATTCAAGCTATCCGAGCTTCGCAAGAAGCTCATCGAGAATTTTTGCACAGCTATTGCCGAATTGAGAAAGACCTTCTCAAAGAGGTGAAAGCGACCTCAATCCGCGGTTCTTTGAGGGCAAGGCCTTGGTTGTCGTCGTCACGTGCGTCGCGATCACCGCCATGGAGCTTGAAAGACGTCCAGGTCTTTGATGTTTTCTTGTCACATGTTTGGAAAAGTCATTGGAAGTTGAAATCTGCCTCGTTGCTGCTTCAATCTGGCTGGTTCTTCATGGTGATGGTTTGGGCCACCACTACTGCTCTCGTTTTTGTTTTATGTCTTCTCGATTTCTTGCCCTTGGACTGGAGCTACGAAGCAGAAGCCCTGGGTGATTTGGTGGAGTGTCATTTGGGCTTTTGGATACTCGCGTTGAGTATGATTGCATCGTTGTGCCTTTGCACTCAAAGAGGTGAGTGATACGTTTTCAGTGCAGCATGTTTTAGAAGCTAGTAGAAACAAGTGCCACGCTTCTAGTAACAAGTGCCTTACTACTAGGAGAAAGAAGCTAGTAGTAACAAGAAGCTACTAGGAACAAGAGCCATACTACTAGTAACAAGGGCATCGCTATTAGGAACAAGTGCGACTAGTCGGAACGACGGCTACTAGTATACATGGGCATCTCTATGTGTGACATCTAAGGCTGGCCTTGCTGGTGTCGCCCTATCTACCAGAGCTTTGGATCTCTGAAGCGTGTTTTCTGGATGCAGCAAGCATTAACCAAAGAGACGAACATGTGAAGAGACAATGCATCCAGAACTTGGCGGGTTTTCTTCGCATCTCCACCCAGCTGCGGATTCTATGGACTCCGGAGTTTACCTCCCGCCTTTGGTGTAGCTCGGCGGCTTTTCCTGGACCTATCTACCCCGTACGACGCATACGACATCATATGTACGAGCAAGAGTTGAATGTTTTTTGCCAGCGGAGGTATAAGCCTAATGGCCTCTTGTTCCTAGAGTAAGGCCAGGAGCCCCTAGTAGCAACCTTGCTCCTAGTAGCGATGCCCTTTGCTAGTAGTAGCTGGGGTACAAGCCTTGAAGCCTGAGCCTCGATATGGTTCCTCTTCCCCCCTAACTTTAGACTTTAGAATTTGTGACCGTTTTTTTCAATTCTTTTTAGGGATGTCCTTTTCGGTGTTTCTTTAGGCAACTGTTTCCTTGGTATTTTTCAATTTATAGTTGCGTTTGAAAAAAAGGACACACAAACGCACAGTGTTGGAGATGCGATTGGACAGAAAGCTTGAGGCATCCCCGTGTTCTTTAAGACTTCGTGTTGGCTAAGGCATTTTTGAGGTTGCGGCTTTCAAGAGGATCAATCCCACAGCGCAGATCATCATTTCGCCCTTGAGCATAGAGGTTTTTCTGTTGTTCTTGATGCCCTTGGTGAGTTTTTCATGTTTGATTTACTTGATCGGCCTTGCAGCGCAGCAGCGGGTTCTTTTCGGAGCCCTGGTCTCACTCATCGCTACGATTCCTTGCGTTTATTCCATACATCGTCTTCGACGAGATCTCCATTCCAAGAAGGACACCATTTCCAAACTAGACACCTTCGACCTCAGGGAGGCTGCTAGGCTTTGCTGGGCTTTGTTGAATTCATTACTTAACGTTGGACGTGTTTTTTGCGCCTGTTTTGTCCAACCCTTCCTGTGTCGTTTCTCAGGTCCAGTGCAGCAGTGCTTCGGACCAGGAGCTTCTTTTGTCCACGATCTCAGAGTGGTACGGCACTCATGATGAGTTCACTTTATTTGTTCGCCACACCTTGCGGGACGAACTCCTCGAGCTCTCGGGGAATGAGGCGAGAGAACAGATCGATTGCCTTTCTTTCAATATTTGGCCTTGGAAGGAAAATAAATAAATCTACATGAAGGTGTTTTGTCTTTTTATAAGCTAAGTACAGTCAATTTCACTTCTTCAAGGCTTTGTTTTGTTAGGGTTTGAATCGGAGGCAGGTCGATGACAGTAATGAAAGATTGAACCTTCGGATAGGTCCCTGCCTTCTACTACTTCTTTCCTTGCATGCCGGTGGTTAGTGTGGCATTAGACTTTCTCGTTGGCTTCATCAAAGCAGGGATTCGTGCTCCATGGCAGGTGGGAGAACAAAGCTCTACGTTGTTTTGCCTCAAGTGCAAAGATTCCTGCATGTTCCGATTTGTGAACGGCTCAAACACTTAGCATTGTTTAAGATCTTTTAAAGATGTGTTTTCTTTGTCCGTTCCCGTAGGTCTCCTATGTGATAGCGGTGCCCTTGGGTTTTGGCCTTTGGGTTTCCATGGCTACAGCCCTTCTACTGCACTCGTGTCACTTCTTCTCGACTCCAGCGCGGCTTCATGGGCTCGATGCCATGAAGAGTGCCTTGCTTTTCCTTTCTTGGGCTTCTTTGCTGCAGTTTTATTCGTGGCTCGAGTCGCATTCGCTGCTCCAAAAGAAAACCTGCCATTTGTTTAGTACTCAAAAGACATTGTTAAGTTTCCCTGAAATTCTAGGAAACAAATCATTAGAGCCTGAATCCTGCATCCAGTAGGTAGTAGCTAACTTAGCCTAGTAGCAAACTAGTCTCCCTTGCTTAAGTAGGAGCGGGCTAAACACCTGAGGTCACATTTCAAGTCTTTGGGCTGCTGTGCTCCATCCTTTGTCACATGTCGAGCATTTGGGCTGTGCTCGCTTGGTCGTGCTTCTCCTTGCTTTCCTTCCGCAGCTTTCTTTGGTGTGCTCACGTGGGCTGAATATGGAATGCGAACGGCAATCTGGAAACATGTCTCATGGGTCTCATGTCTCACTCCCTCGTCACGTTCAAGTTTCCACTACTTGTCAAGTAGTGCAAACATTGCCCGTCTTCGCGATTGCGAGACAAGAAGCAAACCAGCGAGGTGCAAAAAAGCGCACAAAAACACCTGCATGTCATTGCATGTAACGCAAAGTGACACGACACATGTGCAACGATTCGAGCATACACAAGAAGCATTCAAACCTGATCAGGAACTTCCCAAAGCCGTTACGCCTGAAGCTACCATGTGAATCCATGTGGACGTTAGTACCAAGGAAACCACAAGAGATCCTTGTGTGAACATTAAGGTCCAGTGGTAAAGTCAAATGATCGTGGCTCTTCTGATTCTGAGAGATTTCAACTTGCAGAGTGCAGGTCTCACTGCGGGTGATGGCACTTCTCAGATGTCCTTCTTTGCAACAGGCTTCAAGGACTCGCGTTTTTTTCCCCTTTAGGTTGGAGGCCATCGCTAGTAGGTTGGACTCGCATTTTCCCGAGTCAACTCGACTTCCAGCAGCTCGACGAGACTCGCCGCATGGAGGACTACTACTTGTCCAAAGACTCCACTGTGGCCGTACAGAACACAGAGCGGCGAATGCGAACAAATAAAGCTTAATGTTTTAACGCCGAAAACGGTTTCGGCAGTCTTCGAAGCCTTTCGAGGTATCAGCCGTTGATGGTGGTGGCACCTTTGGTGCCAGCGATGCTGGTACAGAGACCCAGAATGACTCAGAGTGGTTCACGAAATGGTGAAGTGGCCCTGATGTTACCTAAATGTCGAGAAGAGAAGTAAAGAGTAAATCCATGTGATCCACGATGAGATTAGAAATCCGTATGAATCCTGACATGCTCCATGCATGTCAGGCAATCTGGAGAATCCTCTTCCGGATGCCAGGCTCTTAGCGTCTCTTTTGAGTCTTTTGCTCCAAAAGTTGCGAGAACAGACGACGGAGATGGGCTGAGGCTCCGACGGACACCGATGACGCCACGGAGAGGAGGCGAGACCTGGCATTACTAGTAGCGTCCTTGCTCCTAGTAGCGATGCCCTTTGCCCCTAATAGCTTCTTGTTACTACTAGTAAGGCACTTGTTACTAGAAGCGATGCACTTGTTCCTAGTAGCGTCCTTGCTCCTAGTTTCAAACAGTCAAGTTTCCTTAAAAGCACATTTTGATTGGGAATGCAGACAACAGAGGCTTGCTTGAGGCTGTAGCACGCCGCAAGTGCTACGTTGCTGTGCTACTTTGCTGTTTGGCGACGACTAGCGATTGCTAAAGTGATTCTGCCGTGTGACAGAATTTAAAGGCAACACTCCCGGCAAGCAGCGGGCCACAACCAGCGTGCTGCCAACAGCCCTGCATTTGCTACCTCACCTACCGTACCATCTCATACTGTCTCACCAAGAAGCATTGCATCAGCTTGCTCAGCAGATCGCTGGTAGGTTGGAGGCCATCGCCCAAGAAGCATTGCATCGGCTTGCTTGGCTTGCTTCCCCGTCGGCCAAACCAAAAGCTCGCAGATTCCACGCAACCCACCGCGCATCACCACCATTTACTCCTAAAAATCACAGCACCTCACATCACCGTTCAAACGAACACGCCTCACATCATCATGACTACCGCCATTTTCCTGCTAGTTTCTATTGTACTTCTAGCAGTTTCTTCGTGCTCTTCGTTCCAATGCATTTGATCTTTATCTTGGAAGGACTGTAGCTTTGCTCTACGAGCAGGCCGGCACACTGTCGAGGGCGCTGAGCCGATGAGCGTAGCGATTGTTCTTTGTTGGCTCCAACCCAGAGATCCGATGATACTAGAAGCGATGCACTTGTTACTAGTAGCTTCTTGTTACTACTAGTACGGCACCTGTTACTACTAGCGTGGCACTTGTTTCTATTAGCGAACATTGTTACTAGCAGCATAGCCTCATAGCTAGAGCTCCGAGATTCGAATCCTTGCGCAACGTGTAAGTTTCGGCCGGCTTCATTGAGCTTGAGGCAGCTTCCTTCGACATCAGGTTTCAGGCTGGCACAGTTGCTCCGTTTGCGCGCACTTGTCCGGGTTCCTGCAGGCAGTTCCTATATGACAAAACGGATTGGATGTGTCATGTTCGTCAAATTAGCTGAATTTGTGTACTTTCTGTTTGAGTCGTTTAAATATGAAATGATCCCGTCTTCACAGGTCACTGGAGGCGAAAGTTGTCACCGATTCCTATTCGCTCTCAAGGGCTGCGCTGGACAGGGAGGCTGCTGCGAGGCGGGCATCATGCAAAACCCTCTTCATCTTTTTTGGAGTATTTGATGCTGAAGGTGGTGGTGTGCAGTGTTGTGTAGGTCCCAAAGCAAGCTCCTATACACAACAGATTTCCAAGATGTCTAGTTTCTCTGAAGAGTTTTAACTGAGGGACATTCCGCTGAGCTAGGTGGATCCGTGTCATCTCTATGACAAGCCAGCAGTGGATTGCCTGTTGTCTGACTGGGGTGCTTGGGGAGAATGTGACGTTTCGCCAGGGACTGAGATGCCTCTTGTGACATCTTCATTGACACTATAGTAGCAATGGCCTCCAACCTAAGAGCGACGGCCTCCAGCCTAGTAGCG